CAAAAGTTCGTGGATGACGCCGTGTGACCAGCCAAGTACCAGATCCCTGTTTCTCCGGAGGGCCGCGACCTTGTCCCATCTGAAAAGGTACAACAGTGCGACGTGAACCATGCCCAAAACCTCAGATCAGCCCTTCCCAAAAACCTCAGATCAGCCCTTCCCAAATCCGCATATTTTGTGGATTTGGGGTCGCAGTGTGGGTATGCTCTAAGCTTCTTTTTTTTTTGTGCGTCTATTTTTTCCCTCGATATCAAATTTCGTGTTTTGTTATTCCTGGTTGGGTTAAAAGGACAAAATTGTCTGATTTGATATAATTTATTTTTTGTTGTTTTTCTTCCCCTTTCTCATTACCAGGTAAGTCCCATTATTGGGAACTTTCTGTTTTACCTGAAATACAATATCTCCAAATTTACTACACATTGGCTCTCGCTCGACTACTCACCACTGTACATGCATTTGGACGCTCTAGGGACCAGGTGCATTAGGACGGCCGCAAAGTTGTGAATGTATCCAGTCAACAAAGTGTCGCAATGCATGTCCAGTGTTATGTAGTGGAGCGAGGCCCATTGGCTCTCGCTCGACTACTCGCCACTGTCCCAGATTGGAGAGTTTGACTTCACTCCACTTAGGGCATACTCACACTTGCGCTTGCGCCTTTTATGGCAAAATAGCTAAAGTTTGATGGTTGGGTCAATCGCATGAGGCAGGGAAAATGGCAAAAGCAGCAAATGGGGTATCAAATGTCAGCGGCCTGGCGGGCCACAGGGAGGGGCATTTTGCTACCACCTGTGGAGGTGGTAGCATTTTTTTTTTTCAGTTCGAGAGTTCGTGAAACGAAATTTGAAACAAATTTTGTTGGAAAAAAAAGGTTGAAGGATTTGGGCCTCACGCTGTATGAACGCATGAGGCACCATTTTGGCAATTGCCAGAAAGTCCGGCTTGTGTCTTCTCTGATTTGCTGCCACCATGTGACCGGCCGGGGTGGCATTCCAGCAAAATAGGGATAGCAAAATTCACAGAGTTCGCTGCTATGCCATTGCTGTGTGAGTACGCCCCTACTCCTCAATTCGGGTGTGGAAAAACAAGTGGACAGCTGTCAGAACACGGGCTTCGGAATCACATCATGGTCCCCTGCCTGCAAAAGCAGTTGTTTGGAGACCGTAGTCCGCCAAGACGCTGATGGACGCTCGTTGTCAGAGAGTGCACCTCAAGTCTCTTTTGCTGCTATGCCACCGCTGTGTGAGTATGCCCTTACTCTTCAATTCGGAATTCGGGTGTGGAAAAACAAGTGGACAGCTGTCAGAACACGGCCTTCGGAATCACATCGTGGTCCCCTGCCTGCAAAAGCAGTTGTTTTGGGACAGTAGTCCGCCAAGACGCTACATCATGGTCCCCTGCCTGCAAAAGAAGTTGTTTGGAGACAGTAGTCCGCCATGACGCTGATGGACGCTCGTTGTCAGAGAGTTCACCTCAAGTCAGGGTGGACGCAATTCTGACGAGGCTAGTGCCGTCACGGACGGACTCAAGTAGGGGTTAAACTATACCTGCCAGAGTAAAAATAATAATAATAAATGATAATTAAAAAAAAAGAAACTGTCAGAGAATACACAAATAACTAGCTATAAGGCTTGTCCAAATTATACCTGGCTCGGTCACACAGCAGAAGTAGGGGCTAAGTACTGATCCAATCGTGTCAGAGAATACACAGGTAACTACCTATAAGCCTTATCCATAACTGGCTTGTTCACACTGCAGAAGGTCAAGTAGGGGGGTTAAACAATACCTACACAGGCGCTGGTGAGTCAAAACCAATGAAACCATTAGTACTTTTGCAGGTACCGCTGGTCCGTTAGCACCTGACCCAGCATACTGGCAGCAATGCAGGTAATCTTTGACACTGCCATGGCTGTGGTTGCAGGTAGTTGTACTTATTGGCCGCAATGCATCTGACAGGATTCAAGCTCAAATTGCCCGTAATCTTACACATTTGCAGTAATGCAGGTGACTAGCTGTGTATCGAGATCCCAAGAGACGAGCGTTTCAATTGCTATGCAGGTTGAGATGTGAAAAACCATAATCCCCTACTTGACTGATTAATGCGCTACAATCACCTTCTTCGCCCAACTAGAGTGCATTCTGATGAGCGTTTCAATTGCTACACAGGTTGAGATGAAAAGCCACAATCCCCTACCTGACTGATGAATGCGCTACTATCACGTTCTTCGCCCAAGTAGAGGGCATCCTAACTATTTGACAGTATTTGTCAGTATTTGTATTCTTGGGTTGAATACAGCCACACGCTGCCGGCACGTAGGTAGTCGTGCGCTACTAGGACGAGATGACCATTATAAGGGGTCTAAAAAACAGTCTGACAATCCGTCATGAGGCCTGCTTTGTCAGTACCAACTGTCGCGGCTTTTCAATATTCGATCTGTGAGGGTATGTTGCCTCAAACTTTCGTCATGTCATTCGTTCATCTAAAAGAAATAAAAACGACAGAAAGAGATCGTTAGCCAGCATGGCGGTATACCTTCCGTTGTTTCCTTTGCTGGTGCACATAAATATACGTGCTAGATGCCGAAGAGCTCAAAAATACTGTTGAGTCCAACAGTCTCAAGGAGTTTCATGCTTTATGCTTAGTCCATACTGATTCTAGAAAATAAATCCAGAAAAGGGAGAATAGTCGGCTCCATACTGATTCTAGAATTCATACTTAGTCCATACTGATTCTAGAAAAATCCAGAAAGGGGGGACCAGAAGAATGACAAGGAGAAAATATTTGCGAGTGATCAGTCATGACCCAAGAATAGTCGACCTGCTAGGGGTAGCAGCAGGATTGCCTCACACCCAAACCAATTCATTGCCGGTCGTGTAGATGCATCAGCTGACAATGCATCGGTTCAGGTGTGCGCTCATCGTACCGCTCATAGGGCGATGCTCCCAAAAAACTTATTGAAGTTACCTACATGAATACTCAATGTGATCCATAGGTACTAGGACGGACAGTCTAAGCATTCAGGGTAGGGAGGTGACTTAAAAGTTTTCTGTTTTCTAAGATCTAGGCCATCCACTGCAAGATGACCGTAGCACATATTCACACCAGGACTTCCCCTGAAAGTATCTGACAGCAGTTACAGCCAGCTTCAGTCAAGAAACTGAAGTCTTCTTGTCTACGCACTCAGATATTTTGAAAACAAATCAAATCAGTTATCCTTATCTTCATGGTTCTTCAAAGTTCTTTAACTTCTACCTTTTGCGGAAGGAGGGATCCTGTGGGGGAAAACATCCGAAAAAAGGAAACAAAAAATTTCACTCGGACATTAGCCACCATCACGCTATCCCTTCACTATAGTAGCTCAATTAGGTAAACGCACAAAGTACTTATGACCCTGCAAGCCAAGAACAAGCAAGCCACGCATTTTCTTTTTTGGCCGGCGCTTTATGACACTGCATGCCAAAAGCAAGCGAACCACGCATTTTCTTTTTTGGCGAGCGCGGCCCAGCCATTTAGCTCCGGTATCGTGCGCTAAAAAGGTCCTGGCACGTGCACAACCGTGTTGGAGAAAAACAGCTGGGAAATGTACTAGCGGTTTGACAGACAACGTCGGAGAGTACAGCGAGACAAAAGACGAACGGCAACATGCATGCATGTAAGAAGTTCATTAGGTCACATCCACATTCATTCATGACAGTCAATCCATGGCTATGCCACCAGCAAGAGGCCGGTTTGAAACATGTGACGTAAGCAGCGAGGAAAGGGGATACATAGAAAACTAAAATCTTTCTCCGGTCAGAGTTTTCAAAAAGAATGTTCTCCATCTTTTCTGCCATCTTTCTTTTTCGTTTCTACTTTCCTTTCTGGCATCTGTAGGTAATAGCTCTAGGGATAAGGAGGATCTACTTCCTGAGCACACTTCAAGGCCTATTCTAGGAATATGACAAATGGACCTGACCATCTTTGCGGTAACGTTCTGGTTGCAGGAGTGCCCACAGTTCGGGCACCCAAAAACAAGTGCATGAACTTCTGATAATCAACTAAACGCCCCAAAACATCTGCTGGGAACCAATTCCAGCCAAGGAAGTGCAACCTGCATCGCAAAGGATCCTGCATCAAGTACTTCCCGAACATACTTCAAGGCCTATCCTAGGACTATTACAAAAGAACCTGACCACATTTACGACCACAACCCCATTGCAGGAGTCCACAGTTCCGGCACCCGAAAACAAGTGCATAACCTTCTGATAATCTACTAAACGATCTTCACAACTCCACAGTGCGGGCACCCAAAACAAAGTGCATGACCTTCTGATAATCAGCTAAACACCCCAAAACATCTGCTGGCAACCAATTCCACCCAAGGAAGCGCGCCGTGCATCACAAAGGATCCTGCATCAAGTACTTTCCAAGCACACTTCAAGGCCTATCCTGGGACTACTACAAAAGAACCTGACCACCTTTACGGCCACATTCCTGTTGCAAGAGTCCACAGTTCGGGCACCTAAAAACAAGTGCATGGCCTGATGATAATCTACTAAAAGATGTTGCATGCTGTGTTAAATTCCGGGCCGCCCGGCGGGCTGGCCTCCGTCCGGTGGGGGTCCCATGCGGCCCGGCCGGTTTGGTCCCCCGGTTGAATGCCGGGCGGGCCTAGCGCATTTTCGCGTGGAGGGTCGGAACGGCCTCGGCGGGGGCAGGCGGCCTCCCCACACACCCCACAGACGTGTAGGCCTGGTTTTTTTTTTTTTTTTTTTTTTTTTGAAGGGCGTTCTCCCCCTTTCCTCCTTTCGCGTCTGGTATTCGTGCTCGGATTCGAAAGTGGAGGCTGCCTTTCCCCCCTGGAAGCGTGCCCGACGCGATCGACTTCGCCTGTCGACAGTCGCGCTCGACATCGCTGCGGCCCGTCGTGATTCGTGCCCTGCCTCGAAGCCGTCGTCGACCTCGCTACCGCGCCTCGTGTCCTCTCTCATCTTTTTTTTTTTTTTTTTCGTAATCGTGATACAAAACGGGCAGGTCCTCCTCTTCCCCCTCCTCCTGTCATCTTCATCTTCTTCCTCCTCCTCCTCCTCCTCCTCCTCCTCCCCGTCCTCTTTCTCGCCATCGCCATACATAGCCGGCAGCCCCTCCTCCTCAACCTCCTCCTCCTCCGTTCGCCTTCTTCTTGTCTCCTCCTCCTCCCCTCCTCCTTTCATCTTCTTCTTCTTCCTCCTCCTCCTCCTCCTCGTCCTCGTCGTCCCGATTTCCTGCCACGTGTCGGCGGGA